TGAAAAATTAACAAAAAACCCTTACAAACCCCAAGACAAGTAATCCACCCGATTGTTCCAAGATTGATATCACCTATGATTATTGTCTGAGGTTGAGTAAGTTATCAAACACATCCGAGATTTACTCCACTGAATGCAGACGATATGAGTGAAATAACCAATCAACTACCATTTCTGAATCGATCAATTGGAAGAAAGTAAATAGTGGTCGGGGAGTCGCCAATACGAACAATGCTTTCAAACCATATAAAATACCAAGAGGGAGGAAGAGGAAAAAAAAGAGGAAAAGGGGAGAGAAGGAAGAGCTCTGAAGAAAACTTCCTGGATGTAACGAAAGGACTGTCACTCATTGACCATCGCTAAGACTTATCCCTTGCTGCCTAAAACGAGCCATCATCTCATCCAATAAGACTCTGAACATTTTTCTTTTGAATGATTGCTGAGATATTGATTATATATGAAGAATTAACTTTCTTTACTCCAAAATCATAGCGGTTACATTTTATTATTAGTGTTTTTGTTTACAATTCTAACAGTGTGCAGGGTGAATTCTTCTGATAATGTTTCATATCCTTCTCTATTTTATTCCTTAGATTGTATTGTGTATGGTTAAATTGGATACAGATTTGTATGTAACTCATTGCCATTGTAAGTATACTAGCCTGTTTTGCTTGTTGTCCCTATTAGACTAGTAAACCTATCATCTTCAGAAATCGTTAGGATTACAAGGGAATTTTTACTTTTGAGATACGTCTCTTTCTTTGCTATGGCCAGGGGAAGTAAGAAACAATCTTAATGGTGTCTAGGTATTTTTATTTTTCTGATAATTCATTTACATTTATTTTTGATTGTGTGTTTGAATTGTTATCACCAGTAATTTATGTTTTGTACAGAAATATAGGATTATACCCGAATATTAATAAATTATTTTGATTAGTGTAATTGGGAGATATTTATATATTGTGGTAAGAAATCACCATAAGCTCAAAGAACTCAGGGAAGTGGTTTGGGGTGTATTATCAAGTGTCTGAACTGAATTCATATTGTTTGTTAAGTTATTACTTGCCGTAATCGGCTGGAGGCACTGTCTATTAAATCTAAGTATAATTCAGACACCACCCTATTATTAATATTTCACCAAGATTTGATACCACTCAATCACAACAGTCCTCTACAGGGACATTGTCTTCTTAAGATAGGAAATGGCTGGGTCCACTACAGGGTCAGTCCACTTTTTAAGAATCCATCCTCTAGAATATTGCAAAGCATTTGGGCAGAGTAAAGAATTTTTTTGGATTGGGCCAATCACTATACAAAAAAGTTTGCACAAGTGAATGTACTGGAAGTGTCTTAACAGTCTGTGGGGGCTTGTATAGCGGATGCAGGGAGCTCTAGGCATGTGCTGACTGCGTCAATAAGAACCAACATGGTGTACTTAAGTTTGAGTTATATCTACAGATTGCAACTCCCCCTGTACCAACTCCTCAAATAAGAATACAAGCTGACTGCGCAGAAGCAGCTGTAGCCCCACGGAAATCAGAGATGGACACTAGAGGACAGGGTGTGGAAGCCTTGAAGCCCCTGTATTCTGAGTCAGCTAACATGGCTGACATTTTCCCCCTAATCTCAGATATAATAGCAGACTGAGGAGTCTCTAGTGACAGGGTTCCATCAGATGGGTGCACTGTGGCCTTGGATCTGTAAAGCGCTCTTCGCCTAACTCTCACACATTACACCCAGGTGTCTAGGAGTGCACCTTCAGTAGAGCCCAGTGCCCGTAGGACACTAACTTTCACATCTACAGATGGACCCACAACCATTGCCTTTTTAGACCCTTTATAGGAAGAAAACTGCAGCAAGAATGACATAGGCTGCTACTGCTGCCCTCCTGTTATAAATGCTGGAAGTCTGAGATTTTAAAGTCTATGTCCACACAAAACGTTTTTTCTTTTGTTTTTTTTGTTTAGAAACTATCACGTTTTTACTCCTGTCATGGATCAGGCCTAAAATGTGGAATATAACATGGGTGCAAAAATTGAAAAAAGGGCCTCAGTCATGAAGGGGTTAAAAACATTCTTACCTTGACAGAAAGTGAGTGCAAATCTCTTAACAGTCAGGAGTGAAGGAAAAAATCTACAACAATGACACAGCAATAAAACACTGGAATGTACAGTACATACACAAGAGGCACTAACAGTATAAGTCTGTGTGTGTTCACAAAGGTGTAACCTCATCCCTGAAGAACCCTCATGGAGAAGGGGGTATGCTTGTCCAAAGTGAGTGAAGAGTTGCACGTGGGGATCCCCCCTTTTCGTAATGGATGGATGGTCATGATACAACTGGTGGGTTGACTTCCCCCCGAGGGATCCCCTGGGTTAGGATTGCAAGACTGCCACTGGCCTTTCAAATTCTCATGATATTGCTGCACAATACACCAAGGGTTATTTTTGCCCCCTAAAGAAATTACAGTGGTCTCAGTATAACATGTGGAGGCCATCTTGCTCAGCTGCCTGAGCCTGTGCACTAGAGTCGGGGCAGGCATATTGGGACACCCTGCATTCCAGGGGCCATCTTGGAAAGGGGCAAGGAGGATTGGGGCCACGCTTTAGTCCTTGGACAAGTAGTTTTTTTTATATACAGTATAGGTGCTGGAACTAAATCAGGTCATTAAATAAAACCGACTACATTTTGAAAACACATTGGTTTTAATGTTACAGTTTGATAAAATACGAGTGTACAGTGTGCAGTGTGCATTCTCTGATCATGCAGGTGTCACCACTGCTTTCACAGTCTATTGAGAACCATTACGTTGTAGTTACAGAAATTCAGTGTCAGCTGTAAACAAAAAAAACTTATTGTACATTGTGTGGCAATGGATTGAGAATACGTATTAAAAAATAAATTAAAGCGTTAATCAAGAACACTATAAAAATATATATATATTCATGATATGGGCATTGAAGAGTCCTTGTAAAAATAAAAAAAAGAACCCTAACATTTATTGCATATTAGTTATTTATAATGCTTCATGTTAAAAGGATGGTATACATTGTATATACTAGGAGCAACATGTACAGTTCAATAAAACAAAAATGCACAGACACTAATATACAGTATTGAAAGCCTCCTACACACCAATTCTTTTCTGGAGAGAGGCCATACAAGGCACGTACGGCAGACAAAACAGACCTTTAAAACCAATATCCTTTTGCAAGCTGTAGTCTGAATACAGATCTATGGAAGGCTGGATACTGCTAGACTAAATGTTCAGCTGTCCTGTTCTGGGACTGGTACTATGGCGCTATCAGGAAAACAGGGGCATGCATTAGACCGTCATCTTAACCAGTTTGGTGTAAAGCAGACCTGTCATGCAGAACTGAAAACCTTTCCATTAATACTGCTACTACCTAAAAGCCGATATACTTCTCCCAAATGTGTGCAAGACAAATCTGCTGGAAGTTCTGTATGCCCTGAAGTATACAAAACCATAGAAAGGACTATTAAACTCAATCTTGATACAGTAAGGCAAGTGCAAGAATCTTTGTGTGACATGTATTTCATAACCGGGACCTGCTTTCTGACGGCACCATTTCTCAGCCTCTCTCGCTGGTGTAGTCACCAAACACATTATAAATGACTGGATTGGGGACTGTAATGAATTCTGCCAAACTAGGCCTGTTGATTGTGTCTCTGCCGACTTGTATTTAAATGTGCTCCAATGCACTTGTTCCGAGTAAAAGGTGCCTATACACACCTTACGATAATCCGTGCGATCGACTTTTCGAACGACAATCGTAACATGTGAATTGAGTGCCTGACCGACAATACTGTACAATCGTACGACTTTTGACGGTCAAGCATGTTTGAAAACTTTAGTCGATTGTACGATGTTCGCATGGTTGGTGGCGTTTTCCGTCCGTCAAAAGTCGTACGATTAACACTGCGCATACGAAAATAATTGCGGTCAAATACCGCAAGTCGTCCAGGTGTTTTTTTTTTAACTACCGCTGATTGAACCCTTTGATTGGGGCAGGTTTGGGCCGTCGTACGAAACGTTTCGTCCGATAATCGTAAGGTGTATGGGCACCTTTAGTGACTCGCTGCCAGAACGAGTATGCAGGCATGGAAATGTACCTTGAACAATCATGCAGTTCAGGTGTGTGAAACACTAAAACACATTGCATGGCAGAGATAAAATGACTCGGAAGCCGACACAACAGTCTACAGGTTTCCTGTAATTAACCCACACAGCATAACAACCAGTTCTATAGATCATTCTTTAGCTGATCTGACGACAGTGAAAGATTTGACTAGTTGGCCCGGGTTACTACAAGATGGAATGCCGTCCTGAATATGCTTGCAGAATAACATTAGGAGCATTTAATGCATGCCCACATCCGAGGCACAATGAATGAGCATGATCTGTACCAGCAAACACTTCCTGAAAGACTCCCCCGATCTCTCTGGGGAAGACCAGGGTCAGTGCTGACTGTAAATGTTGCACTAAAAACATCCAAGATGTGCTCAGCAGGCATGGACACCTACATTCTATGTTGGAAGACGATAGATCTGGCTTCTGGAAAGTCATATGGGACACCATGAGCACTGCTGAACCTCAATAAAACCATTAGCACTGATAGGCTGTTCTCACCCTGGGAAATCTTCCATTTTCATCATTAATGGGCAGACTATTGTACCACATGATCAATTATTGGCTGTACCAGCTCACACATGGGATGCTTTTTGTGAATATTATATATAAAATGTCATCACTCATGTTCTTACAGATTGTTACCATGCGTATAACTGAACATGCACTGCTAATGGGCAATCGCTGTCCGGATAGAACTTGTGTATTCTAGAATCATGCATCAATAAAGCTTTGTGACATCATAAGCTGGAACTCAAAATTTGCATAAAAGCAGATTGAATCCATCATGATTGATGGAGAAGGCAAGTTCATTTCAATGTTATGGACAATTCAAAATGTTCTAAAGTCCTCCAGGAAACAGAAATGATAACTCATGCTGAATCAGAACATTAAATGTACGGCAACGATCTCTTTGGTAATAACGGGTTTAAAGGTGAAGCAGTCATGCACCAGGCCTAGCTTAGTCTCCTTCATATGTTCATTTGGGTGGGTTTAATAATAAAGTTAAAATTCTGCCATAAGTCTACTGGGGCAAGTAGCCGCCTCGCCGCACAGTTTGTGGTAAATAGCTCTTTATCTCCGTGCTCTCAATGTTCATCGCTGATGGTTCACTTTCAAAACTCACATTCTGCTCAGCATTAAAACCTCCGAGGTCCATTTCATGGCCAAGCCCAGCTAGATGCTGGCTCTGACCCAACTCCTGTATAGGAGAAGAAAGGTTTTCCTGCTGCAGGGCCTGTAGCCGGCCTGTGGAATCCTCCTGAGTGCAGTTTTGTTTAAAATACTGGTTTGGTATTTCCAAGACCTGCTGCTCATCTGGCCTCTCTTCAGACTCGAGCAGTGGCTGAGTTGACTCAGACCTAGAGAAAGTTGGTAGGGTGGCAGCAGTTGGCTGTTGTCCCCTGTAACCGCTGATAATGACTGTAGAGTACTGGACAGTACTAGATGTATTCTGACCCGATTCAACCTCGTCTGTGTCTGAAATACTCAACTGCAGGGAAGACAGACAGGAAGAGCCTCCAATACCACTACTAAGGCCCTCCGATGTGTTCTTCTTTATCACATCCACGGACTTCAGGTCCTGCTTATTGTATGAAGACTTCTCATCGGCGGTTATCTCCACCACACTGACGTCAGTAAAACTACCGTCCTGGAAGGGATGGCCTTTTGGTTCATGCTGCAGAAACCGAGACAATGTTATTTTACATATGTGACAATAATGAGTGTGTGCTTGTCACCTCATAGCAAACAATATGTCAGACAAGAGGGAAGTACTGGAAGGTGCCACTTTTATGTTCTTAGTTATGTTTACATTATGTACAAAGCCATTCCTCCTGCATCTGCCCCTGTACTCTTAATCCCCGTCCCTTCTATACAGTCATGCTGCCACAGCAGTTCCTTGACTTAAGAGAACTATGGGGTAAGTGTTTTTCCTCAGTTCTCATTATTGTTACGGGAGGACATATACTAACCTCCGCCCGTGACCCAAAGCTCAGTATATGGCAGGCTTTATTGCCTGCCATATACTGAGGGCGCCACTGCCGTGACGGATCCCAACAATACTGTTGGGATCAACCATCCTGCGTGAGTGACAGCGGGCTCTGCTTATCTAGAGGCAGAGTGATGCATTAAAAGAGGAATGGAACCACCGTGCGGGCTGTTGCCATAATGTGTAAGCATGCACATATGTGGCCCCCGGCATCTCAGACACCACTACTTCGGGGTTCCCCTTCTAGTACATCTTCCCCAGCACCCGGCCTATTCGGGGTTCCCCTTCTAGTACATCTTCCCCAGCACCCGGCCTATTCGGGGTTCCCCTTCTAGTACATCTTCCCCAGCACCCGGCCTATTCTTGGTATCTGTACCTGGCCATGTACACTGCACTGCATATGCACCATACAGTGTACACAGACAACTAATGGGGAAAGAGGAAGCAATGTTTTATGTTCAGAGTCTAGTTCTGCTTTAAACTGCATTGTGTACATCCAAAATATTAACTGTGCAACAGTGGCAGCGCATGTACACATCACTGACGGACAGGAAACTAAGGTTTTCACAGAGTTAGTCACAACATGTTCCGTTAGACTTGTATGGTAATAGCTTGTTCCACAATCTAGTTCATAGAAGTGAGACATGTTCTGGTAGAAGTACAGAGGCTGCCATTTCTGGGCTAGTGTAACACATGAAGTCACTTCGTACATTCCCTCAATACAACATGATTGATGAAACTCAGAGGCCTATTTCAGACGCTTCTGCCATTCCCCAGCTTTCAGGCTGTACACTTGCTCCAGTACAAGGTCATCACTTGTAGTGAAGCTATACAGGCTCCATTGGAGACATCAGGGGAGAAGGACCCATCCATGAACAAATCCTATTCCCCACCCTCCTCTTAGACTTCGTCCCCATCCCTTGTTATGTGGGAGAGCTGGAACACACTATAGTGGCCCCACACAGGCCAGACAGCCCTTCACAAAAGGTAAACATTTATAGTATCTATAGCCATCTATGGTTTTACAATATAGAACTATTGCAGTTAGTAAACAGAACTCCTTCACCTTTTCTTGCAATGGGAAGGCGCCCTCCCCCCCAGTTCACTAAACCTTGATGACCGACAGCACCATTTAGGCCACATCATGCTCTGGTTTAGCAGAGGCAACCAAACTTTTGGGTCTAACAAGCTCAGCTACAACATACTTAATAGAAATTTCCAGGAGGGGCCATCTTAAATATGCTTTATGCTCCCAGCAATTAGAGGCATGAAGACATCTGTCCCCCACAGACAGGGTGTTGAAGATTATCCAAAATAAAAACACAGTTTATGCTAAATCTGGATTTCAGCAACAAAGACAGCCAAGTGATGTTCCTTAAGCACTAACTGGCCACCCGTGGTGATGTCATTGTGTTACCTTTTGCATTTGTTTTTACAAGCAAACCCCATAAAACTTACCCTGGTTGGAGTTTGGGGAGACCATTGCGCGATGTTACTTTTTGAGGGATCTGGAACATTGGGCCAAATGTGTTTCTTAATGCTGAAAAAAGAAAATCAAAAATTAACATACTGTACAGTACAGATCCAACATAAGGTGCCACATTTTCTGTCATGTAACTAAAGTAAATGATTGTCAGCAATAGAATTCATTCTACATTAGAAAGAAAAGTGTGGGAGCTGAACCTCAATGTAATCTATAGACAAACTGATCCTGCGGCCCAGAACCAGAACTGGGACAGGGCCAAGCCATGCACATATCTCCTCAAGGTGCATTACCAGACTTCCAACAGTCACAAGCACTCATTACTGCACACAGACAGGTTCAAACTTCTCGGAATGTCTCTGAGATCCTTTTATTACTCATCATGTAGGGAAAAAAGGAAGTGTTGTAACCTGGTGATGCTTCATTCATCAGCCTGGTCACAAGCTTATAAAGTCCTAGTGGTGCCTTGTTCACAATATTATTATACAGGATTTATATAGCGCCAACAGTTTGTGCAGCGCTTTACAATATAAGGAAGACATTGCAATCACAATACAATTCAAGACAAGATGGTAAAGAGGGCTCTGCCCCTGAGGGCTTGCAATCTAAAAAAGGGAGGGACCAGTGATACATGAGGAGGGAGCTGTGTGGGGATGATATCAATATCACATATTCTCAGCCTTACCCCCACTTCCCCATGTCTTTATTCTGTGGCTTCCTGATCAATAAAGAGTTATCACAGCATGGGATTCTGGGAAATTCCCACACTCTAATTTTCCATGATCTGATTGGTTATTTCATTAATGCATAAAAAAACACTGTACTAGACCTTGCTACAAAAGCCCCATTTGCACCTACAAAGGGGGTGGGATCACATGAATTCCTCCAGGAGACTCCTGTGGGCCGAATGTGCTGTATAATCCAACAACAGCTGCCACCGGGCACAGCCTGCCATTACCTGTGGATGACCGTACCTGGGCACAGACTGTGGGCAGGTCTCCAAGAATCCCACACATTAGTTACTATTCTGAATTTCTAAGAGTCATATTATGAGGGTTGAGGATCTCCTAAATGAAGAAATGTAAGAAAAGAGCTTGTGCTGGAAAAGGAAGAGAGAAGACGGAATGAATTTGAGGTCAGTTTTCTTGGGGCACCAGAGGTCTAGGAAAGCCTAAAGCCTCTTCTCACCAGCTGGTGTTCCCGGATGGGGGCTCATTACTTTCCATTAAATATACAATATGACTACTTTACTCCAAAGTCCTCCTGGAACATAGATCTGTGTTCACCTCTGATATGTCCCTTTTAGCTGGAGTGCAATAGATGCCGGAAATGTAATATAAAGCAGGAGAACAGGTAATAGAAATCATCTGCAATCGCTGAGCTTTGTCCTTGTAATCAGACCACCACCCGCTGACAAATGTTTCAGCACAGTGGTAGATTTGATTAGCACACGAGGCTCCATGGAGGGGATATCCCAGGAGGACTGCGTACTAGCGGAGAGACTCCATCCAATGATGAGAAACATAATTAGTGTAATGTAAACCACGCCGCAGTCATTCGAGTCCCCACAGGGGGAAAACTACATTGTAATGAATACTTACAAATCTCTCTTGTTACAAAGCAGGACTCCAACAACAAGCACAAGTAGCAGAAAACCAATACAAGACGAAACCACGATTGCTTCAACCTCTCCAGTGTCTACAAAGAGAAGGGGGGAAGTACAGTAAGTACAGTAAAGGCTCCTGTGGAAATCAAAGGCACATTCCAGCAGTCAAAGAACCTATGTAGGCAATTCCCATGAGAAACGGGAGCAGATACTGCAGTCCATGCTAAAGCCAGCGCTGCACCAAGCACCAGTGTGGATTAAAGTAAACCTGGGAAAACATGGTGCTGCCATTGCTGCCTCCTTCTTAATACGTTACCTGGCTGCATGCTGAGCTTCTGGCTTCAATACATTCTGCATCATCGACCCAGAAAAAGTATGCAAATCATCATAGGCAGAAGTTCGTCGCAAGAGGCTGAGCATGACAGCCAGACTACAAATGAGAATGACAGCCAAACTACAAATGAGAAGTCTGCAATGACAGCCTTCATGGTTCATTATTGAGGGCTTCCTATAGGCCAGAGGTAGGCAACTTCAGCACTCCAGCTAGGGTGAAACTACAAATCCCATTATGTGTCTGGGAGTCTTGCCTGTGGATGTCAGAGTATTGCAATGCCTCATGGTTCCTATATCCTACAACGGCAGGAGTGCTGAGGTTGCTTACCCTTGCTTTAGGCTATTAAGCTAAATGCATTCATTCTAAAGCAGCAATTTACCCTACTGGACTGAGGGACAGTTTGGAACTTCAGAGATCTAAACCCCAACCAAAGATGTGGCCTTGCTTTCTTAAAGGAGAACTATGGGGAAAAGCCTTAACCCCATAGTTCTCATTTAATGCAGCCAGGCTGGAGGCATCCAGGGAAACAAAGAGTAAGGTCCGTTCTCAGTCAATATACATGGGGTGCTTTCTCTTAAACACTGCTGTTAGTAAAGTAGGATTCAATGACAGGTCTACTACAATATATATTAGCAGGGTTATTCACAAAGGGTGAAGAGTTTGGAGAAGGAATAATTCTCTAATTCAGCTCACTTTCCAGTTCAGCTATGCTGTCCTAGATTGTTCCCTTCTCCTGCCTTCTCCCATCTCTTCACCCTTTGGTGAATAGCCCTTGAGATGTTTTGATAAAAGGTTGACATTCCACATTCTACTTTGTTTATAACCAGATAAGTCATCAGTACTTGAGGTCTTTTAATACCAGGCTGGATATTATTTATCAAACGGTCTTAAGGAAGAGCTGGATTTCATGTGCGCCGCAGATATATTTCCCCTTCCATTTGCTCAGCATCATATAAAAAGACTGAACAGGAGAATCTTATTGGTTGCAATAGGTAATGAGCTCCTCCTTTAGACACGCCCCAATCTCTGCACAGAACCTTCTGCATGGATGATCCTTACCAAACCTATTGGTGGAAAACGTGAACGGTAAGCCTTCCTTCCCTCCAATCTCAGTGTTGGCCTTCACACTGACGCTATATACCGTGTTACTGGTTAGGGAAGTCATCGTATACTCCGTCTGAGTGGCATTTAGTGTGACAGCTGGAAAACAAAGCAAACCCTGCATTATAAAACAAGAACTTCAGTCAAATAAAAAGCATATTAAAAAAAACAGTTATACCGTTTTAACATATACAAATAGTGGAATGCAATAAAATGAACACATTCACCTTTGCCTTTCCCATCCTAAAAATGGTTTGCCTGTTCCATCAAGGATCACTCAGGTAAAAAGGGCAGACTGGGTCTAGCAGTATAAAATGTGTATAGAGAGACTAGTTTATGTCTTGAAGTACTGCTCTTCTTTTTGTCTATGCTCTCCCCCTATACAGACCCATAGCAAGGTACTGAGAGCTTGCTTTGTATTACAAGAACTCAGCTTTTACTTGCACTCCCAACCCACTCTGGTATGCAATGCTGAGGAAGAAGAGCAGCCATTTACAGGGTAAAAATCAAACCTTTCCATATCCTCAGACAGCAATCTCCTCTTGTAGAGGTTTTAGTAAGTCAAAAGTTACAGACTAAGTTCCCATGTAAGAGAGTACCAGGCTCTCTCCGTCTAGGAAGGGACCAGGCTCTCTCCGTCTAGGAAGGGACCAGGCTCTCTCCGTCTAGGAAGGGACCAGGCTCTCTCCGTCTAGGAAGGGACCAGGCTCTCTCTGTCTAGGAAGGGACCAGGCTTTCTCTGTCTCTATGGTTAGAAACGTACTTACTTTTCTCTGGGCCGTTTTTGGCTTCATATTTCAGTGTGTATTTAGTGATGAAACCATATTGTTTCTCTAATGGAACCGGCTCCCACACAATGACTGCTCTCGTCTTCTCCACTGACTTGTAGCGAACAGTAGGTCCTTCCTCGGGAGCTGCAGATATAAAAATGAAGACAAATCACATTTTAAGGAGCACTGCTCTATATTTCCAAGGCTACTAATTAACATCAGCATTATAATCAAGGGTCTATGTGCATAATCCAGGCCTATTCACCGCAGGGCAGATGGAGGTCAGCAGTGCATGATGGCCATGCATTAGAAATAAACCATTTTGTTCAAAATGCCAAGTTTAAATCTTTGTGCTTTGCTGTGACAGAATGCTCCTGAATCCCTGCATGTGGCACATAGGAGTTAGATGTAGGAGATCCCATTACTCCAGAAACTGAAAAGCTGTTCAAAAGCCCGTCCAAGTCAAATGCCAGGCTGACTCTGTCCACGGCTGTTTGCATGTAAATCACTCAAAGAATGATCGTGACAGATGAGCAGCTCTGTATGCAAACTGTGTCCAGGGCTGCTCATGTCACCGCAGGTATTCACTACATGCGTGTATACATGCAGAAAGCTGCGGAGTCTCTAAGCCTACCATTGATTAGTACAGGATTAGTGGCCGCAGCTGAACACCTAGTTGTACCGGCCACAGAATATGCTATTTTGGGCAGTATACAGCCAATAACAGCCATGTGAATGAGCCACAATATGATAATAGCCTTTTGTAAATATTGCAGGATATGCAGATCAATTGTCACACTAAACACTTTCTGCACATTCTCTTTTTTTATGCCAAAAAAAAACTATTCTGCTAACTTGGAAGGATTCCTCTTCCCTGACCTTGGGGGACTGGTAAAAAACGCTCAAATGTTACCTCTACATAGACTCATATGAAATAGAGGCTGTACACAACAATTAGACCAAATTCGGGGCCCTTGGCTGGCATATAATCTACTTCCACTATGTCAGACTGGATTTGTTATGCTTTTTATCCCTGATTGTGTGTTTTATGTTCTGACCTCTCACCCACACCTAATTATGCAAACCTGTATATGTACAATGCTTCTGTTCTGATACATGTTGTTTACAATAATGAGTCAACTAGACTAAGGCTGGACATACACATGTCAATTTTGTTCGTTCAACACGCGGGCTGAACGAAAGAAATTGACGCGATTTCTCCAAAACACAAACAGCGTGTCCATCGAGGAATCGCCGCTGTTTTCATTGTATTCTGACAGGTGCCACCAATACTCGATCAGAGCGGACAGCTCACTGGCTGCGGGCTCTGATCGCACAAAGATTTTCCAGCCATCTCCTTCGATCAGCTGATCCAAGAATGCCGGCTGAAAGGGAGCCGACAGCCCCACACACTCGCATTTTGACCGGTACAATAAACACCGTCAGAAATTTGGCCAGTGTATGGGCACCTTAAGTTTTGTAATTGGTTTTTTTGCTGAACTTGTAAAAAGTATGTTTTATATGCAAAAATTTAATAAGTCACGTGTACCCATCCCCCCAACCCTTCATTACCAGGACACAGTTCAGTGCTGCGATAGTTTGTCATGTAACACTGTAACCAAAAGGAATTTTATATCATTTCCGAGACCGAGCTTTCTTATATGGAATCTGATAAGTTCTGGGTTTTTATTACTTACTATACGAGGGGAAAAAAGACAAACATATTGAAGAAAAAACTAAATCCCCTCATTTAAAACATCAAATAATGCCAGAACAATACAAACACCACCACACTTACCCATTTTTTTTTTACAATTTTGGGGAAATGAAGAAACATGTAGTTATTGGTGGTCAGTGGCATTTTAAAACCCTCCACATTGAATCTGCTGTTGCTGATCCTGTTCCTTCCTGCAATCCGTTTTTCTCCACATACTCCATTGTGAGAGGAAGGGGAGGGCTAAATGTTTGTAAATGCAGGAAGTGTTGATGTTTGTGATCACTCCGATTGGCTCAGAGCGATCACAAGGTACAAGGACACTCTGATTTGCTCTGTACATTTTGCCTGTGATCTATGCTGCATAATAACAGCTGGATCACATGCACTCAACGAGCTCACTGGCCACCCATGCATGTTTTCTCAATTGCCGTTTAAAAAACAGAATAATACAGCCAGTGTGCGCACATCTGTGCTAGGCTTGTTAGCTCTGATAAGTCCAAGAAGTGACTGGTAAAAAAATTTTTTAATGTTATGTTGCATCTTAAAAGCAGACTATATAAAATTATCAGGTTTTACTGACATACATCGTGCTGGAAAAGCCAGAAAACTCAAGATAATTGGGATCTAGCACTTCCGTGTGAGATAGTTCATATGCAGAGTATGTCTACACTATTTGGCATGTAATAGATTACGTACTGCCTTGCTGGAGATAAGCCGCCACATATCTTGGTCTTTCAAGGCCATCTTTATATAGGGGATAAACTTTGATCATATAATATACAAATGGCTTCAGGTCACCTAGAAGGAAAAAAGCAAAAACTGCATTAAATGCAAAACACAAGAAACCTGTAAAATATACAGTGAAAACAATTAAGAGAAAGATAGCAAGCACAGCAAAGTAATCAAATTCTATAGAATGTTAACACAACTCTAATTGTCTTTAAATTTAAATGCTGCCAAAGGTCTGTTACATTCTCAGAAGTGCCCTGAGTGGCATCATGTGGCAGGATCTGCCAGTGGGAGAATGTACAAGTATTCCTATACATTACTAACACTTAAGTGCCCTCTGGGATTTAGGGGCCCATTTAAATGGGACGTGGGTGGAACAAATGTTGGGACCCCCTTCCATTGTCCTGTAGATTTGGAAACAGCTCACATTTTCAGCAGGTGAGAAGCAGGACACAGCCTACACTATACTCGTGATGCCTTTTGAGAAGTGAAGGAAGTTGTTCATCATCCGACACCAATTGTGCATTTTAGACCGGGGAAGAGTTCAGGGCATCTGAAAAGCTAATCTTAAACTGCATCCATCTATCTATACACAGGGACTTAAAGGGTTATCCACAAAAAGCGTGAAGAGTTTGGAGAAGGCAGGAGAAGAGAACAATCTAGGATAACATAGATGAACTGGAAAGTGAGCTGAATTGGAGAATTTTTCCAAATCAGCTTTTGTATGTTGTCCTAGATTGTTCACTTCTGCAAACTCTTCACCCTTTTGTCAATAACCCTGTAAATGTTTCTACTGGTGCATGCCATGAAATAGGGAGGGAATGTCTGCCACTGGCTAAGTAATATAAGGGGCTAGTGGCTCTGACTACAACTCTGCTATAAAACAACAACATGGGGGGTAAAAGAAAAAACATGTTTGTGTAACTAATGAATGTAAGATGATTTCATATCAGCATGCAGAGCTGAATGCGGATGTGATTTTTATTGAAAGGGGGTAAAGGCTTTGAGGCAACCTTACATGAAAAGAGAGCGTCACATAATAAAAAATGACTGGAACACTCTTGGGACAATCACTCATTTGTGGTATAAAACCATTAGAGAGAACACTGGACCTTTTTAGAGAGACAAATGTTAATCTAAACTGGTCTTACCTCTCAGGAATGTCCCATTGACAGTACTTGGCTCTCGTTGCCATTCCATTTTACAGCCCTCAGAATCTGGGTTTGCACACCATTCTATTACATAACCCACAAAAGGTTTAGTCGGTGCGGACCACTCTACCCAAAGCTTTCCGTCTTTAGGAAACGCCTTTACATCAATTTCAGAAGAAAGGGTCACTGTATGTGAAATACGAAATATACAGATTAAGAAGACCACGTATTACAATCCAACAGTCTAGATCTAATTATAGTCGAATTGTATTAATAGCAACTGTCAAGTTATCATTCTGTATAAAAGGACAGGAAAAGCTATAGGACGGGGAGAGAAGGAGAGGGAGCAAAGGCAACATATGCTGGGAAGGTGTGTATGGGCAAATATTCCTGCCAATGGATACAACCTTAAAGTGTATACAATGCCATTATTTTTAGTTTTGGATAGAGTAGGAAAGGTTAAGACCCCTGCCCTGGTATTTATTCATGTCTGTTTAGTCTCGGGAAAATTTCCCATCATTACCTGCTTTGAAAATGCAACAGAAAGTGAAGGGAACTACCCTAACAGTTGTCACAGAACAGGTGTCTCTACTGAAAGATTTCCCCTCAAGTCTTTTTCTGGTGACAATGGAACCAATACAAATAGGGACATAGACGGCAATTAAAACTTGACAGAGGGCCTAACCTTTCCACACTTCTACAATAGTAAAAAAAATAAATAATAATAATTGTGCAAAGAGACATTTAAAAATTTAACATTGCAAAATATATTCAATTCTAATAAAATAGTGTATGTATGTGTAATATATATATATATATATATTTATATTACACACACACACACACACACACACATATACATACATACATATATACATACATATACACACACACACACACACTCGTAAAATATTCCCATTCTTTAAATGGAGTCTATGACCCGTATATTTAGAGTATATTTTTTCCACTCTTTCTTTGACAATTTAATGTACAATGTAACAGTCAGATCTATAGCAGTAGTCAGCAGGCACTTAAAAAGGAGGAGAACTATGAGGCGAGTGCTTTTCACTCATCCTCCTAGTTCTGGCCGACATGCGACAATGAAACTGTCACAGGTCGGCTCAGTAGATCGGGAGGTGAGCGAACACATACCGGCGTTCGCTCACTTCTCGATCCTGTCACGGCAGAGAGCCGTGACAGGGGAGGGACTGGATTCCCCCCTCCGATCCTTCAGAGCTGTCTGGCGGAAGGGATGGGGGAGGGGGCGGGTACAGCTGGCTCTGCCTCTAGATAGGCAGTGCAAGCTGTCACTCACGCAGCTGGGCGGTCCAGACATAATTGTCGGGATCCGTTTCAGCTGCGGCGTCTCAGTATACCGCCAGCTGCAGCTCGCGGTATACTGAGCTTAGGGTGACGGGAGGACGCTAGTTTGTGTCCTCCCGTTACCCTTAGGAGAACTATGGGGAAAAGCCCTAACCCCATAGTTCTCCTTTAAGTAGCTAGTGGGCCTCATCTTGCTTCTTGACCCAGACCTTTAATATTCCTAACTCATTATAAAATAAGCATTAAAACGTATATAAACCACAAAACAAAAATGAATGATGTTACTGTGATACCAAATTTCCACAGTAGGAAAAATATCTGTAACTGGAGCCTTTGCCCTGAGAGAGCCCTAAAAGCTGTAGAAGGAGGTCGCCAGAAACGGAGGACTCCCATTTGAACCAACAATACTGCAGAATTCATATTCTTACATTATAAATAAGGTGATGAGAAAGTGGCAGTAAACCCATACCTGTGTTTCTGGCAGATGGTATAACCAGACTAGAGGAAGGAGAGACACCATAGCTGTTGTAGGCAATGATTATAACTTGAACAGCATCCTTTCGGACAGTGACATTGCACCGTGTATCATTTATAGAGAAAGCATCAATTAATTCTTTGGCTGTTTTAATAGTTAGGTTGTATCCCAATATTTTTCCATTAGCGTAAGACTCCAAATCCTGGTAGAAAGAAAAACAAAAGTAAAGATTTTATCATTAGTGAAATTCCAAAAACTTTCCTATGCGTTTGTGAATCTCCCTAATAACTATTATCTTACACATACATGCAGTCACAGTATAAACGTATTAAAACGTATGTGTATAATGAGAAAATTATCTAGATTATATAAAAACCTATGGATCAGAGTTTATGCCTTAACCTCCTTGGCGTTAATACCAAGTGTGGCTCGGGGTTAATTTTCAGCACCATAAGCGGTAACCCCCGAGCCACACTCGGGATTACAGCGTTACTTACCTTGTCCCTCGAGCAGCACGGTGTCCTCCGGCCGATGCCAGCATCAGTCTTCCGGGTTCCGTCCCTTGCGAGCGTCCGCGTCGCAAGGGGGCAGAACCGGCGGGAATTTCAAAAGTAAAAATAACAGGGAAAAAAAAATAAAAAATAATTAAATAATCAGACCGCCAGGGAGGTTAATCAACACTGTTTTATGATGTAATTTAGGTAAACCCATGGGAGGCGCTTCTACATACACCTATAACAGGAATGTGTAAAATATCAGCAGCATTTAATTTCCCACATCTTCATGTCCACTAAACAAACTATAGCCAGTTCCTGGAAATCCCCTGTGCTCAGCTACCTGGGAGTTAGGGCCAGATCACACCATATGCACTTGTGATGCAGTCCTTTTATTTCAACTGCTGCTGTTAAAATACATCCCAATGCTTTCCTATGGGCTTTCTTGTGTCTAATTCACACCATTGCAGTCCGTTCAACTGCAGTCAGAAAAAGTACTGCTTGTCCTATTTTACCTGCATATAACTGCACTCATCAAAACGCAGTGCAAACGCATCAAAACGCACTAAAACGCAATGGACTGCATACAAAAAACAAAACAAAAACAGAATTGATTGAGGCATCATCCAGGGACATGCAGGGGGATCAAAATTTTGCATCAAAAACGCATCGCAATGCAACTGTGCAGACGCACAGTTGTGATGCAGTTTCTGGTGTGAACTAACCCTTAAAAATCGCATCCCTAATGCGATGATTAATGAACAGCTAACAGAAATCTTGTCGGACACTTAGACCAGGTTTGAAAGGGTTTGGGGGCCCTGGATCTCTTAATCGGACCACGACACTTTGACCCAACCCAGTTAACGACTTGATAAACCCTGATAAGACAAATAGAGGAAAACTCATCCGATCTACTTGCGCCATTGTACACCCTCCACTGTACCCTTACATAACATAATCCCCTTAGGGGGATAACCTTCCCGCTCTATTCCCTTGCTGTCCCCCTAATAGTTACTGTTTTGTAGGTTTTATCACCCAACCTTCAATACACGACTTGCTCCAGGGCCAATTTAAAGGTCCCCAGTACAGACAATACTACATAAAAGGGTTCCAATAGATGTTCCTTCTGTGATCCAAATAGTTTTATTTTTGAAATCACCAAATCTACTTGCTTTATGTTAATTTACCAGTAATATCTTTATAATATTTAGACTGGCTGCTGCGTCAGCAATGATTTATACTGTAACATTGCAGATTACCTGTAAGTGTGATTGATAATAAATGAAAAATGTTTGTGGTAAAAATACACATACATATATATATAAATAATCACACAATGTGTGTCCCTCTTCTGTCTCTCTCTCAAAACTGTAATGGAGGATCTGACAAAGTGCTTGTGTTGACTGCTTTTGTTTGCTTTAAATGGGTTCTGCATTCCCATACGAGTCTATGGAAATACAAATTCCCCTGAAGCAGTTCATATGCAGGTCAAAAGAAGGTCAACTGCAAGTGAAAACGATGAGTCAATTAATTTTGAATGATGTCAGATGTGTCTCAAACTGATGTCACATTTGCACCACGGCACAAGCTCAAAGCCCTTCAAAACCGGCCCCAACTCAGAAAGAACCCAACATCCTACCCTCCATGTATCAGTGGCCTGGCCTTGTGGCTACCCACTCAGACACAGAGCATTGCAGGAATCATGGAGGCTACACATGTCTGCATGTTCTGGGGTGACACATAGGTAACGGCAGGCACATTATGGTCGTTTCTAAATAGTGGAAGGGTTTATCTTAATGAGACCATTCATTTCAACAAAAATCTTCCCATAGGATTATATGCATTTAACATATTTTATGCATATTATTCCCCTGTAAAAGCCTCTACTGTGTAGACATCCAAAATCCCTGAGACAACTAGTGGGGAACACCATCTTGGATGTGGTATCAGTAGCCCCTAAAGCTGTCAGTCAACTGATACTCTGTATCCACCATAGCTGTTATAGGCAACGATTGTAACTTGAACAGCATCCTTCGGGACAGTGACATGGCACCGTATATCATATATACCCCTTTACTCCTCCCCTAGCAAATACATAAAAGGTTATGTAGACTTCAATTGGTGAGGATACTCTCCGCACACCTTTCAGCAGTCCCGGCCAATAAACAAAGATGGTGCTTGCAGTAACTCCACGGATGGCACTGTGCAAAATACACAATTGGAAGAATAGGTCACCAGCACTCCAAATATTTAAAATGAATAAGTCCTTTTTGTTGGACGATAGTGTCACAAAAGATCAAACAAGAGCCGACGTTTCGGGGCCGCACAGGGTCCCTTCCTCAAGGCAAGAGATGGTCACATCTCTTGCCTTGAGGAAGGGACCCTGCGCAGCCCCGAAACGTCGGCTCTGTTTTGATTTTTGTGACACCATTGTCCAATAAAAAGGACTTATTCATTTTAACTATTTGGAGTGCTGGTGACCTATTCTTCCAAT